GGGTCTGAGGCTGGATTTGAACTCAGGTCCTCCTGATTCCAAGGCCGGAGCTCTACATACTGCGCCACCTAGCTGCCCCTTGTTTTTCTTTTAATTTACATTGCTGTAGGGGTTGCGTATATTGTTTTCCTGCTTGCTTCACTTTGTGTCAGTTCAAAGAACTCTTCTTATGCTTTTCTGTATTTTTCATTCTCGTAATTTCTTACAGTACTGTAATATTCCATTGCATTTGATGGACCATAATTTGTTTAGCTATTTCCTCAATTGATGAGCATCTACTTTGTTCTTTGCTACTACAAAAAGTGCTGATATAAATATTGTGGTGTATATGGAAACTTTCTTTTTGTTGTTCTGCTTTGGGGGTCTGTGCTTAGCAGTGGCCTTTCTAGGTCAAAGGAAGTGGATTTTTTTTTTTTTTACCACTTTCTTAGCATAGTTCCAAGTACCTTGAAACCTTATTTAAAACCAGTACAAATCATTATTTTCATCACTGGAATGCATATTGTTTTCATATCTGGAATACCCTTCCCTCTCATCTTCACTTCTTAGACTTCTTTACTTCTTTCAAGGCTCAGCTTGGATGCCACCTCCTCTAAGAAGCCTTCTGAGATCTTCCTAATTGTTAGTGTTTGCTCCTTCCTCAATTTTCCATGTATTCTGTCAGCCTACTTGATAGAGAGCCAGTCAGGAAATCTATGGCTCACGTTCTGCCTCCAATGCAATATTGTATGACCATGGCAAGTTGGAATTAGGGTTAGCTCTCAAACAACTCTGAGACCCTAAATTATAGACAGGTTGCTGACCTGCATCAGTAGACGGAGCTTTCATGTCAGCAGTTACCTATACTGACTGGAAATTGGTGGGTGACAGATTTAGGATTAATGAAAGCAAAAAAAAAATTTTTTTTGAACAATTAGAGCTGCCCCAAAGTATAATGGGATGATTGAGGTACTGTGTTCCTCATCACTGGAAATCTTCAAACTTTTGGGGCTACTATTCCTAGTCAGACACAGAATGGATTACATCATCTTTATGATCCTTTCCAATTTTGAGATTCTGTTCTTACCCAACTGGCCATTACCCCCACTGAACCACAGGCACTGAACCCCTCACCTTCACTGGGTCTAACACTCCCACTTTCCCCTGGATCTTCAGGCCATAATCCTCACTGAATTCTTGTCACTGAGTTCATTACTTCTATTGAACCTCAGACACTTCCACTGACCCTGACACGAGCCCTCGACTTCCCACCTCCAATGACGTCTCAATCAAGGACTTTGTGGCACTAATGGACGTCACCCATACTTACCACTAGACTTTGGTGTCATCACCCCTACTGACATTGGGACCCATAGCCCATCACCTCCACTGACCCTTAGTTCCTCCCCCCAAATGGCATGAAAATACTTGATCCACCTTCAAGAGCCCATCACCCCCTTATCCTCCAAGTCCATGATAACATCCAAAATTTGTATAATGCTTTAATGTTTTCAGGGTGCTTTATAGATTTTATTTCATTAGATTCTCACAACAACCCTGTAAAGTAAATGGTATTATTATTCCCATTTGACAGATGAGGAAACTGAGGCTGAGAGAGATTAAGTGACTCACAGCTAGTAAATATCTGAGTCAGGGTTTGAACTTGGGTCTGCTGATTCCAGGTCCAGCACTCTATTTACTATGTGACCTAGTTACGCCTTTAGCTATTAATCCTTACTGACCTCTTGACACTGAATCTATTACCCTCCCTGACCCCATATACTAAATACATCCCTTTCACTGACTCCAAAGACTATCAGCCTCTTACCCTTATTGATCCCTGGACTCTCAAGTCTGTCACTGAGACTGAACCCATCAGTCACATTGACTCCCAATGAAACCATCACTTCCATTGATCCCTGGATACTAAGTCCATCACCCTTAATGACTTCCCAGACCTTTATGTTATCACTGCCACCCCCACCCCTCCCACCCAGCCACTGGATCTTCAGCCCACATCCCTCATTGAGTCTTCAATGTTGAGCACATCATGCTCACTGATTCCTAAATCCCTATTTAGTCCTCAGTCCATTGCTTCTTGAGACACTGAGCCCATTGACTTGCAGACACTGTATCCACCCCCAGTGACACTCATTGAGCCCATAGCTTCTACTGATTTTTAGGTAATGCATCTAGCTTCCCTGGTTTCCACCTCCCTCAGTGCTCCCAGGCCTTGCCGTTGGACATAGTTGGAAGTTGCCTGCGGTGCCCAGATCTTGGCCGTCCCCATGTCCTGCCTTTTTTGTCTGGCAGGCATAGCTGCTGCTGCCCCTACTTCAGTCCCCAGGGACCCTAGGCACACCCCTCCCCCTCCCACCTGCCCTAGCTTCAACTCAGAGACCTTGTTTGCAGAACGGCCTGTCTTGTCTGGCTCACAGATGGGAGGGAGCTGACTGTAGGCATTGGCACGGCCCCAGGTAGGTCTTAACTGACCCATCATCGGGGGCTGGTGGGTGGGGGGCATCTTGGAGATGCTGGGCAGAAAGAAGAGAAAAAAGATAAAGACACTCTTTCCCTCCCTTCCCCTTTAGAGCTGCCGATTCTTTTTCCTCCTAAACTCTATCTCCCTCAGCCATCAGGCACTGCTCCAGCTTACATTTTTGGAATAACCAGAACTTTGGACACATTCAGGAAATATTTTCCTTCAACTAATTCAGTCAAACCACCAGAGCCAGGGCGCCCTGGGATGTAGGGGTGAGAAAGGAGCAAGGCTGGTTAGCTATGGTGGCTCATGTTTGGGGTCCCTACTGCCATGAGGTTGGGGAGAACTGAGAGAGCTGGAGCTTTGAGCTAGAGACATCTGGAGGGTTCTCATTTCTAGGCTCTGGGTTCTCATATTGAACTGTCTGGGCTGTGTAGGGTTCACAGGATCTGGACCTCTATGATTAGGGTGGGGAGATGTGATTTTCCAGATAACCTGTCAAAGGGTTCTCAGTTCCAGACTTGAGGAGTCTCTGAGCCCAGGTTGCTAGGGCAATCAATATGTGTGATTTCAAGGGTCTCTAGAACCTGTGGGTTGGAGGTCCCCTGGGTCTCTGGCCATTCTGTTGGGCCACTGGCCAGGGCCAGTCCCCACTCCAGCTGCGGCTGGCCACAGCCATATTTGGGCATAAACTCTAGGCAGACTGTCGGAGTTCCAGGCAATCTCCTGGCCCAGCCCCCAGAGCCTCCCAACTCCACAGCTGTGCTTTAGGTACGGTGGGGGCTAAGAAATCGGGGGTTTGGGACAGGTTTGGGGCAGAAGCAGATAGAAGGAAGAGGCATCCTGATCTGTTACTCCTGGGGTGGCCCTGAAGGCCAGGGATACAGGGTGAGTGGGAGGTTTTTTTGGTGGGGATGCTACCCGTAGCCAGCCACTCCACTCCTTTGGCCCATCCTCCTTATCTCTAGCATCTTTTCTCTGCTCTCCACTCCCCAACTTGGCTTCAATGGATCTCATTCCATAGGATTAACCCACAACTATCAGAAGGCCCAATCTGATTAGTGTCTTTATCCTTCTTCATTTACTCCCCCCAATTTCAAAGGAGTAGGGTGGAGGAAACACTGCTCATTCCTATCTGGTCCTTTTACACTGATCCTGAAGTGAATTCTTCTTCCGTCAGGGTTGTATGGCAGAGAGATAAACAGAAAGTGCTGCTTAGCTCAGGGACCTGGTTAAACCAAGGCTTCTTATAGTCCTTGAACAGTGACCTGCTTAGGACTGGTCAGCCCTTGCCATGTGATTTCAAAGGATTCTCACCTCAGTCTTTGTGAATTTGGAGCCAGGCACTAAAGTAAGGGAGTGGGCTGCAGGAGGGTGGGAGATAAGAGCAGGAAGTTAAAAGGGGATCTGAATATGGGAGAAGGGTCTGTGTACATAGTGGGGCACAGTGTCCACAGTCATCACTACTACTACAGTCTGTAATACTGTCACCATCAACACCACTCCCAATCATCGCTACCAGTATGACTACCATTATCATCATAATTGCAGTTATCTCCATCACTTTTGCTATTATCAATACTGAGCTGATTGATATCATCAATACTGACCATGATTTTGTTGGGAATTCTTGGGAGAGGATATTCTCTCCACCCATGTAGATCAGCAACTCTTCTGTAGCTTAAGGGTTTTAGAGCATTGCCTGAAGCTCAGAGGGTTAGTGACTGTCCCAGTGTCACTTGGTGTCAGAGGCCATGATGAGGTCATCTCTCTATGTACTATCCCACAATACCCTTCACTGATTTATCAATTAATATGGACCCATGCAAAGGGTGCATGATGCTTTACTAGGTACTGTAAGGGAGGACCAGTGGGAGACACCAGATGTGGTAATGTGATCATTCCTGACAAGCCAGATTAACATAAAGTCAGGATAATGAAATGAATCATTTTGGGGGCATGGAATGTGGAGAAAGCCCTAGTTATGTTGGTAAATGTGAGGGGGTGAATAATTTTCTCCTTTACCAGCTTTAGTTTACCTGTTGTAAGGGCTTCAGTGACTGAACACAGCTATTGAGCCTGAGCCTGAGTGAAATATAGAGATGGAGTGAGAGATCAATCAATAAACATATATTAAGCACCTACTATGTGCCAGGCACTGTGCTAAGTGCTGGGGATACAAAAAGAGGCAAAAGACCCTGCCTTCCAGGAGCTCACGACATAAAGAGACATATAAACAAAGATACAGAAACAAAGACAAAGCAAGGGAGGAATGAGAAAAAAGGCAGATAATAGAGGCCAAGAGACAGACTGGACAGGAGAGAGATGGGCAGCAAAACAGATGAACTGAGAAGGGCGATGGACGGATGGAGGTAGAGAGACAGAAAAGGGCGGATGCTGCTGAGACCCTTTTAGCTTTGGGGCATTTCTCTTGCTTATCTTGGTGCCTGACTCCTAAGCACAGGGTGCTAGTGACTGCCATTCAGGGGAGGGGGTCACTCACCCCTGCCCTTCGCAATGCCCTGGGTCTGCCCCTTAGGCAGCTGCTTCCTGTGCCTGGTGGACGTAGTTCCTGTGAAGAACGAGGATGGGGCTGTCATCATGTTCATCCTCAACTTTGAAGTGGTGATGGAGACAGAGCTGGCGGGGTCCCTGGCCTGTGACACCAACCACCGTGGCCCTCCCACCAGCTGGCTGGCCCCAGGTAGGTGCTCATCTTCTTTGCCTACCTCCCTGGGATGTCCTGGGTCTGTACAGTGCACTGCTCACCCCCATGCAATTGCCTTCAGCATTTTCCACCCTGGGGATCACAGCAGGAAGGAGAAGGTGCTGGGGGCAGGTCAGCATTTGTTGTAGAAGGTGAGAAGAAATCACATTAGGTGCCGTTTGGTTCAGGCAGGTTTCCTTGGAAAGGGCACTGGATGGGGAGTGAGAGGGCTTGGCTGAAGTCTTAGCTGTGCCATTGCTTGTGTGGCCTTGGGCAAGTCACTAAGCTCTTCTGGGCCTTGGTTTCCTCATATATAAAATGAAAGGAGTTTGACTAGATGATCTCAGCCCTTCTCAGCTCTAGATCCTTGGGTGCTGGGCCAGTTGTCAGATGGACTTATCACTGGACTCGGTGGAGTCAGGGTGAGGAAGCCTTATGGGAGGTCCCTTTGCTGACCTGTGATGGGCCAGCTAGTGAGCTGTCTTTACTTAGGTTGGTGTCTCTGTTTTCCTTTAAGCATATCCCTCCTTTTCCTTAAAGACTTCTAAGGGCATCAAACCAGGAGTCAGGAGACTTGGGTTCTAGACCCAGCTCTGCCACTGACTGGCTGTATGACTGTAAGGGAGTCATTTGACTACTTTGAAACTCGGCTTTCCCATCTGGGAAATGGGGACCATAAATGGGGATAATAACCTCTACCCTCTCTATCTCACAGAAGGTGTTGTGATGATCAAACAAGCTGCCTAACGGGAAAGTGTTTGGGGAATTAATTGTTTATTTTTAGGAGATCATACAAATACTCAAAGGATTTGGGATTTCATTGGCTTAGGGAACAGCCATCATGTGAAATCTTTCTATTAAGGCAGATCACAACTGATCTGTGACTTAGTAGATGAATACTAGGGAGCTATCTGAGTTCACATTATTTGACAGATTGACTGACCTGTTTGGGGCTATGCAACTAGTAAGTGTCAGAAGTCAAATTTGAATCCAGGACTTCCTGGCTCCAAGTTCAGCACTGTCCACTCTGCTCTATTGACTTTCTAATTATTATTGTGCTGGGATTGTTCTTCCTCTTTCCAACCTTCTCCTCTCTCTTTGCTGTGTTGCAGTGATTGCCTCAGTTTCCCCTTTGGGGGATGACGGGTGCCCTTGGGTAAGGGTCAGGTTAGATTATCTCTTAGGTGCCTTCTAACTCTGAAATTCTGTGGTTCCATGAGTGGCCCGAGGCAGCAGCTGGGACACTGTCTCTCTGGCTGGGGTTGGGTGTGAAGAAGGGCCTGGGGGGGGGGGGGGGACTCCCGGGGGTCCTGTGGGTACTGTGATTCTGACCATCTGCTTGTTTCACCTTCCACAGGTCGTGGCCGGACCTTTCGACTGAAGCTTCCGGCACTTCTAGCCCTGACGGCTCGGGAACCATCCCTCCGGCCTGGTGGTCCCAGGGCTCCAGGGGCAGTGGTGGTGGATGTGGACCTGACTCCAGCCCCTCCTAGCAGCGAGTCTCTAGCCCTCGATGAGGTGACATCTTCACTAGATAACCATGTGTCAGGGCCTCCTGGCCTGGCTGAGGAGCGTCGTGCTCTGGTGGGGCCTGGCTCCCCCAGTAGTGTACCTCTTACCCACTCCTCACCTCAGACCCAGAACCTCAACCCTGATGCCTCAGGCTCCAGTTGCAGTCTGGCCCGGACCCGCTCTCGTGAGAGCTGTGCCAGCGTCCGACGAGCATCTTCTGCCGATGACATTGAGGCCATGAGGGCAGGCACGATGCCCCCACCCCCCCGCCACGCCAGCACTGGTGAGGGGGCTGGCTGGGGTCCCAAAGGCTGGGGTGGGGAATCCATCCCTAGGCTGGGGGAACAGGCAAAGAGGAACAGCTCCCATCAGGAGAGGGGCTAGGATAATGAAAAGGATGATCTGGGGCTCACTGCTGCTCAGGAGTACAGAACGGCAGGAAGTCTGGGAGCTCTGTGTGTCTGTGGCCACAGATGGGGTTCCTGCCTCCCTTTGTCCCAGCCCCTTCTCCATCTGTTGCCCATCCTCCCCCTCACTCTTTCCATTCCTGCTCTCTTGTTTGCTCCATCCCCACAGATTCCCCTTCCATGCCAGTGAGATGGGAAATCCCATTAGCCACTTATTTAATCCCATTAAGTGTCCATTCATCCCATTAAATGCCCATCCCATTACCTTCTCCAACTCAAAAGACCTTTCCTGGCATCTGGATCTCTAGAACTTGAATCTGAGGGGTGCAGCGGTTGTAGCATTCTTCAGGTCCAGCTGCTGCCCACTTTTCATTGAGTGGCCCATCTTTTGGGTCCCTTATTCTGAGCCTTTGCCTTAGATACACCTACCCTACTCACTTTCCTGACCTACCTGTTCTGTTTTTACTGTTATCTGCCTGTCCACTGGTATTCCAAGTCAGTTGTTGACCTTATGTGTTTGACCTTCTAACTGTCCCGTCATATTGCTGACCCAATTGTCCCTCTATAATCTGGACTCATCTATCCGTCTATGTTTCCAACTCAGCTGTTTCCCCATATTCCTGACCCAGCTGTCTCCCATGCCCTTGCTGCCTGACCCCTTGACCGCTCTCTTCCTTCCCCTGCCCAACCCAGGGGCCATGCACCCCCTACGCAGCAGTCTCCTGAACTCCACCTCAGACTCGGACCTCGTCCGTTACCGCACCATCAGCAAGATTCCTCAGATCACCCTGAACTTCGTGGACTTGAAGGGTGATCCTTTCCTGGCCTCACCTGCTAGTGACCGCGAGATCATTGCCCCAAAGATCAAGGAAAGGACCCATAACGTCACTGAAAAAGTCACCCAGGTAAGGGCTCATTCTCTTCCCTTTTCCTTGCTGAAGGGGTTTGGGCTCGCCACTGAGATGTGTGTGAAAGATGTGTGGCCACTGAGAGGCCTGGTTGAGAGAAGAAAGATGGACATATGGCTAAAGAGTTAAGGCATGCCTTTCTAGAGAAGTCATGTTGAGGAGTGAGTGGAGTTCTCTTCTGAGAGAATGTCTCCAGAGTAAAGAAGGCAGGGGGTTGGAATTTGTTGCCTGAGACTGATACATTAGGCACATTGGCAGGGATGGTCTGGGGCAAAAGGTCAGTCAGAGCTGGGAGAGGAAACGGCTTTAGGGGAATAATGAGAAAATCCAGTAGATTAGACCGAATGTGAGGGAGGCCAGAGAACATTCCATATGTAGGGCCTGGCAGAGGGGTGAAGTGATCCAGGAAGAGGGATGACCTTGTAGACCTGGTGGCCTAAAGAGAGAGTTGGGAGTAGGAGAGGAACCAGCCACAGGAGTCCAGGGGAGAGAAAAGCAGAATCCTGGGTAAGGCCAAGAAGGCTGGAGAGGTGTGGGGCCAGAGGAAGTCAGGATCCAGCCCTACCTTGGGGAGTGGAAGTGGAGGACTGTGAGCAAGCAGATACCTTAGAGATCTCCGCCTAGGGAAGCCTGCTATAATCAAGGTGGGGGAATGTCTGGCTCTTCTAGGCTAAGTGAGGGGCTGTTGGTAGGGGGAATGCCCTGAGGTCATGGAACGGGGTAGACTGGTTCTTTTGTGCCCCATACTTGTGGGAATGGAGAAGAGGGAGCCAGAAGCCTATGGAATGGATTGAGGAGAAATGAGAAGGGCATGGATCCCCTAAAACATCAACAGGAAGGGCTTAAAGCAGGGTTCCTTCATACTCCCTGGGCAGTGCTAGTACTGATTTCCTGGTTGGGTTCAGGCTCTGTAGTCTCTGACTTCCTGCCCATCTGTCTGTCACCCACTTTCTATATTGCTACAGTCTCTCCCCCGCCCTGTTTCCCCCCATACCCCCACCATTCCCCTGCCCATAACTCCTTCACATCTAGGCCAGATGGACCATTTCAGCAGAGGGGAGAGGAGGGTGGGGATCAGATGAGGGCAGGACCAGGAGCAGGAATGTCTGGGTGCCAATCCTCCCTAGGCTGGGATTAGGTGAGAAGTCCTGGGCAGCTTCGTGTCCCCTCCTTTTGCCTGTGGGTTCCCCATTCCCTCTAGCTCTTTGTTCCCTCCTGGGCATAGAGGGCATCTGAGGCTGGAGCAGCTCTCTTCTCCATTGCTTCGCCAGAGTCCCATTCTGGGTCCTCCTCCTGACCCGGCCTCTGGGTCTCAGCCAGGGACAGCCCCCTCCCTCCCCCCATGGCTCTTTCCTCAGCACGGCTTTCCTCCTCCTTCTTCAGTCTCACCTGGCTATTTCCACCCCCTCTTCCACTTCTTTTCCCACCTCAAGTCCCAACCTTCTTTTCCCAAATTCCGCACTCCCTTATATGTGTGTATCTGCGTACATTATTATTTTTATGGGTGCCTATATGTCTGTGGGATGCACGCACTGGTGTGTGCGAATGTGTGTGTGTCCATCTGTGTGTGTCACTGTGGGAGTCTCTGTCTCCTGCTCTGTGCTCAGGCCGGACTGGGGAGGAGGGGGTGCAGGGGAGACCATTAATCTGCAGTGACAGGCCGGGCAGGCAGCTGGGGGGAGGGGAGAGGGCTGCAGGAGCATCTGCAGCAGGAGCAGCTCAGCCGGAGAGCTGGGACCTTGGGGGGGGAGAGGGAGGGGGTGGCTGTCAGGGCACATGGGGGCGGGAGGGGGCGGGTGTGAGGGGGAGCCCAACATAGCAGGGGGGAGGGGGGAGAGACTGAGGGAGGGGAGGAGGAGCTGGAGCAGAGGCTCCATCTGCTGCTGTTGGGCGGGCAGCGGGCGGAGTGCAGAGCCCTGGCAGCTGAGCCGGCACTGGGGGGCTGGGGCTCGGCGGGTACCGGATGGCATGAGCGGGGCTGACCACTGTTGCCTGTGCCTGCTGCCAGGGTGAGCCAGCTGTGGGGGACAAAGCCCAGATCCCCCTTAACCCCCTGGATCCATGCCAGGGTCAGCTCTTGGAGCCAGCCTGCCAGCCCCTGGTGCCCATTCCTTGCTGCCCCTCACCCCACCTGACCCAGGGGTTCCTGAGGTGCCGTAGGGGAGCAAGCCCAGGCCTTTGGACTGGTGGGCTGGGGGGAGGGGGATATAGAACCCACCATGTCCACAGCCAGGAAGTTGAGTGGGGCAGGGGCAGAGGCCGGGGCTCTACTGCCCAGGCCCAGGAATGCCCGGGTGCGGCGTGCTGTGCGCATCTCCAGCCTCGTGGCCCAGGAGGTAGGTGACCCACACCTCTCCCTTCCCCGAAATGGATGGGCACTGAGGCAGATCATTAGGGATGCATGGGGCTAAAGTGGGATGAGAGAGCAGGGAGCCCAATGATGGTCCCAGGGAAGAGTACTGGGAAAACTGGATGATGTGAGAGGATGAGAAAATAGGATGGTTTAGAGGAGTGATAGGCTGATCCTCCTTTCTTTTCCATCTTTTGGCTGGGGTTGTAGGGTATTCCCTAAGTCTCTAAATTCAAGGAATTCCCCCTTACACAGACCCCCTTCCCCCTGCCCCACCATGATGACCAATCTTCCAAGATGGAAGGGATCAGAGGCACTAAAGAGGGAGAAGGATGGGCCCATATGTCTGACACGGGGTTACTTCTCTCTGCCTTGGGATCCTAGCTGGCAATAGAGTCCAGATATGTTGTATGAAGGGCCTCTGTGCTCCTCCCCATGAAGCTACCGTCTTCTTACTCCCACCCCCTGAGTTGCATATCTCAATAGAGTTTCTGACTGGGTGTCTTTTGGCTCTTATGATCCAGGGACCACAAGACTGGGAGATACAAGGGCCAGAGAGGTGAAAAGAGCTCATTATCGGGAGACAGAGATAGATTCTAAGTAGCACTTGGTAGGCCCAGATATTGCCCCACCACGGAAAGGGAGAACAATAGCCCCGGTTTGGAGCTCTTGCTTGGCTGTGTATGGGGAGGGCCTGATCCCAGACAGGTCTTCTGGTCTTCTTCTCCTTGCGTCAGGGAGGTTTGAGCAGTGTCCTGTGCCCACAGTCTCTCCCGGCTCTAGAGTAGAATGTATATCGGTCAGAATAGGCTTTGAGAGTAGTAGGAAGACAAGGTATACATTGGGATAGTGCTTTAGGGGAACTGGGGAAGTTGGACGCTGGGTCCTGTGTGTCTGGGGGACCAGAAGATCAGGCGAATGAAAGAATCTTTTTTTTTTTCTTTTTGGTGAGGCAATTGGGGTTAAGTGACTTGCCCATAGTCACCCAGCTAGTAAGTGTCAAATGTCTGAGGTCGAATTCGAACTCAGGTCTTCCTGACTCCAAGGCCGGAGTTCTATCCACTGTGCCACCTAGCTGCCCCAAATGAAAGAATCTTAATGGGACAGGGTCTTGACAGTAAGCAATAGAGCCCCTGGGTTAATTAGGCCCAAGGTGCCTTCTCTAGCCATAATTTCACCCCCTAGAATAGGGGCAACAGCCACCAGAGCACCTCTGGCCAGGGCAGGCCCTTGGTGATGTGTTTGTTGCTCAGACATCTGACCCTTTAGGGATAGCCAGGAAATGTGTCAGGAGCAGCTGTGACACTATGGGGGGGGCAGATGACTTAGCCCTTCTCACTCAGTCCAAGTAGGGTTGGGGTGGGTGGGATGGAGAAATCCAAGACTGAACTGAAGGCCAGAACCCTAGCCAGCCTTGCACACGGCCTAAGACCTAAGAGGCAAGATTGGGTTTAGCTTGCTCCTGAGTCAGGCATGGATCCCTCCATACATCCCCAGGGATTCTGAGTGGTAGAGATCCTTGGGTTCTTGACTGTGCCTTGGGTCCCCAATCTGCCTGCTTCATGAACACTCTCTTGTGGGGATGGGATGGGGGGAGCTTCCCTTCTCCACCTCCCCAGACCTCACATCATGCAGAACCCTGCACAGGGGCTGAGATCATCAAAACAGTGAGGTCTGGTGGGAAGAGCCCTGTTCTGGGAGCCAGGTGATCTGGACTTTATTCTCTGGTCTACTGTTACCTAATAACAAAGGCTGAAAGCAAGCCACCAGATGCTGGGGCTTCAATTTCCTGATCTATAAAAGCAAGCAGGTTGGGCTCGATCTGAGGCTCATAACTGTTTTTAGTGTCATGGATACCTTTGGCAGCTGGGTAAAGCCCATGGACTCCTCTGAATCAGGTTTTTAGATGCACAAAATAAAATACAGAAGGTACCATGGAAAGAACAATAAAATACAAGGGGAACCAAGTCATACTGAAATACAATTATCAAAATGTCTTGTTTTAAAAAACAAGTTCACTGATCCCCTAAAATCTATCCATAAACCCCTGGGCTAAATGATTTCCAAGCTCTTAACCATTCACGATTCTGGGATGGTCAGAGAGTGATAGCAAGGCAGAAAGAGCTGGGATGGCTAAAAGGAGCTGGGATGGGCAATAATGGTGAATAACATGTTGCATTTTGGGCTAATTTATTGCTTTTCAATACATCCTCCCATATTCTCTTTACGACATTTGTGTGAGGTAGCTGAGGCAGCTGACCCTGTTTGTTTGACAGATGCAGAAAGTCTCAGGAAAGTGAAATGAATTGCCATAGGTCACACATACGTAGGTGTGATCTCAGCCTCAGACCCAAGTTTCTTGGTCCAGGGATCTTTCCAACACAGCTGGCTGTCTACTGTGTGTCTTGTGTGAGTGTGTGTTTATATTATGGCGGCAGGGTTGAGAGTAATGGACGAGCTGGCGGGAATGATGATGGCTGTAAGGTTGTAATTAAGGGCCACTGTGAATGAAGTCAAAGTGGAGAGGTCAGAGTTCTTTTTGAGTGCTGTGTCCTACAGGATCTGTGGTGGGAGGGCCAGGGTAGTCAATCACAGGAATCTCAGTCTAGGTGCCTACACTGACCCCTTGTGTTCCTCATGCTTGCCACAAGGGCCTTGGCCAATTCTCCCTTATTCTGTAAATTAGACATCTCTTAAGCTTTTTGTGAGTGTCATGGACCCTTTTGGCATTCTGGAAAAGGCTATGGACCCTTCTCACAACAATGTTTCTAAATGCACAAATTTTTTTGAAAATGATATTATAAAGAAATCAAAACAGTGAAAATAAAGATGTACTTTTTTCCCATTCAAGTTCATAACCCCCCTGACATCTATTGGTAGATTCCTTGGAGGTGTGTGGACCTCAGATTAAGAAGCTTTCTATAATCCTTCTGTCATCTGATTGCCCTCAGATCCCATTTCACTGAAAACCTTCCACTTTTGTATATCCTAGCCCCCTGAATTTGTGGCTTACACTATCTGTGGAGAGGGCCAGGGTGTCTGAGAGCATGGAGTCAGAGAGAAGTGGGAAAGTCCCTAGCTCTAGAGAATGCTTTGAGTTCTTTTCTCTATCCCCATGACACTGTCTGGCAGTCTCAGGGACTCTGACATCTCTTCTCTCATTCCTCTCAATCATCTGTCCCCTTCCTGTTCCCCCTGCTCTCCCAACCCCCCGCCCAAGAGAGCCTGGCTTAGGCTATTAGCTATTCCTACAGCTGTTTTCTTTAGGCTGCTGGGAATATGGAAAAATGATGTTCTTTAATTAACTGGAGGAGACTGAGGACTTGGGATTTTGGGAAGGACTGAAGCCTGTCTCCCCACCTTTCCTCTTTAAGCAAAAGACTCAAAAACCGGCTTGCCGGTTTTGGTATCTTATGAGTAACTCTGCCCCAGATACGTAGGCGCACCTTCCTTCTTTTTTATGTTTGCTCCACTGCCCTCATCCCTAATTTGGGGAGGTTTCAGGGTGCCAGTGAGTGTGGGCCTAGCATTCTGAGTCACTGTGTTGCTTTGACTGGGTAGCCTGGCTGGGCCATGCCCTCTCTCCTCCTCTACTTCTTCATCTTCCTGCTGCCACCTATGAGGAGTGACCAGGGAAACTGACGAACAAAGGGATGGGAACCAAGAGAGATAGGCAAAAACCTTTGTGGTTAGAGGGTAAACAGGGTACTCTGATGTCAGAATCTTGGAGTAATTAAATCTCAGGTGAATCTGATGCTAGGGGCACTGTAATATGCTGGAAGTGGAGGGTGGGGTGGCTTTGTGGTTTTGCACTGTCTTCCTTTCCCAAACCCCAGAGAGGTGAGGGAGAAGGGCAGCCTTGGTATGTAGCCTGGGGGGGGGGTGGATGTCACTGCCGCAGCTATGTGGAGGTTTGCCTAGTCTTTCTCAGTGGCTGTCCTAGACTTCATTCCCTATCTCTTACCTTGCCCCTCACCTTGTACCTCCCTGTACTATATGAACTATTCTCGGAATTTCCTCTCTGAAGGCACACAAATGTTTATGTTTTTGTGTATACAGTGTGTGTGTGTGTGTGTGTGTACCCCTGGATGGAAGACATGCAGATGACTGACTGTTTCCTCAGGTATGTGCTCCTATGCCAGGTCGTAGGATCTGCACCCACATATTCTATCTGAGCATATATAGGGACCATGGCTAATGGCTATAACTGTACCTTCACGTCCTCTGGATTGGGGCTAGTCTATGTTTGTGGCTTCACTTTCTTGGGTTAGCAAAGGGGGCTGGCTAACTGGGGTGACTGGGGCACATCGATTGCTGGTTTGAAGGGCACCCAGCAGATACCAGCAGTGTCTGACACGGGCCCCCGTTTCTGGCCCCTGCAAGACTGGACATGATAGGATCTAGGCTTGTATTTTGTTCTAGAGCTTTATTATTCTTGCCACCCAATACAATGGAACTTGAGCATTTTGATGCACACATTGAGAATGTAGTCTTTGGGGTTACCCTGTAGCCCGAAACAGCTTGGTGTAGTGGCAAGAGCATTAGATTTGGAGTCAGAGGGCCTGGGTGTAAATCCTGGTTTGGGCTCTGACCACCTTTTGTGCCCTTAGCCTGGCTAATTCACCTTGCTGAACCTTAGTTTCCTCATCAGTAAAATGACAGATTTATGCTTGATGGTCTCTTCCATATTTACATCATATGAACTTATGCCTTGGTGACCTGTGGCTCTTGTGTCATTCCTGGAGAAGGAGTCCCTTCGATGTACTGCACTGAATGATGGGAGCTGTAGTTCTCACACTGTATGACATTCAAAGAGCTAGGTTAGACTTTCTGACCTTCCTGTCCAGCTGGTGCCTTCCCATTTCTATTGAATCTCCTCACTTGATAGCCGTTCCTGAAGGTTTTGCCTCTTGGGACTCTTCTGGTACTCCTGCCTCTGGGACCCTGCTCCTTCACACCCACTCCCTCTCTTTGCTTACCCTCTCCCAGGTCCTGTCCCTGGGTGCAGATGTGTTACCTGAGTACAAGCTGCAGGCACCGAGGATTCACCGCTGGACTATTTTGCACTACAGTCCTTTCAAGGCTGTGTGGGACTGGCTCATCCTCCTGCTGGTCATCTACACTGCCGTCTTCACACCCTACTCAGCGGCCTTCCTGCTGAGTGAGGAGGCCCCGCCGGCCCCTGACTGTGGCTATGCTTGTCAGCCCTTGGCGGTGGTGGACCTCATTGTGGATATCATGTTCATTGTGGACATCCTCATCAACTTCCGAACCACCTATGTCAACGCCAACGAGGAGGTGGTCAGCCACCCTGGCCGAATCGCCGTCCACTATTTCAAGGGCTGGTTCCTCATCGACATGGTGGCAGCCATCCCCTTTGACCTACTCATCTTTGGCTCCGGCTCTGAGGAGGTGGGGACAGGGAGAGTGGGAGGGAGGGAGGGAGAGGAATGGAAGGATAGAGGGAGAAAAGTGGGATGTAAGGAGAGAGGCATGCATTGAGAGGATAGAGAGAGAAAAGGAGGAAGTGAGGGATGGAGGGGAATGAGAGAAGGATTAAGAGAAATGATGAGAGAAAGATGAATTTAAGGATATAGAAGTAGAATGATGAAAAGAGGGAGAGAAAGAGGGAGAGAAGGATGAGAGAAGCAGGATAGGGGAGGCATATATAGAGAGAAATGGAAAGGAAGAGAGGGAGAAAGGGATGAAGGAAAAAGAGAGGGATAAAGAAAGAGAAAGATGAGGAGGATTAAGAGAGAAATGGAGAAAACCATGAAGGGAGGAAAGGAGAAAGGAATCAAAAGAGGAAGGGAACTTTGAAGGGAGGAATGGAAAGAGAGGATGAGATGGAAAGAGGGAGAGAACAGAGAGAAGAATTGAGTGAGTAGAGGGAGAAAGGAATAGAGGAAGAAGAAGGAAAGATAGAGAGAGAGAAAGGGTGGAGGAAATAGAAAGGAGAGGGATGGAGGAGTAGGAAAGATGGGTCATGGATGGAAGAAAAGAGGTGGGGATAGATGCATAAGAGGAAAGAGAGATGGAGGGAGAGAGGGATGAGGAGGCAGAGGGAAGAGGGTAAGGCTTGGAGGATGGGAACAAGGAGAATGAAATTAGAAGGCTCCGGGATTTATAGTCTGGATGCTTGTTACCCCTTCTAGCATGGTCTCCCCTTAGTGCCCTATAGCACCCCAGCCCTTTTAGTCAATCCCATTATGCCCCATTCCAGGGTGTCTCATTCCCCGCGCCCCCCCCCGCCCTGGGCCTCATCCTTATCTTACTTCCCCTTCCTACTGGGCCTCTGGAGCTAACCCTACGCTTCCCCCCGGCCCCGTGCCTCGCAGCTGATCGGGCTGCTGAAGACAGCACGACTGCTGCGGCTGGTGCGAGTGGCAAGGAAGCTGGACCGCTATTCAGAGTATGGGGCTGCTGTACTCTTCCTGCTCATGTGCACCTTCGCCCTCATCGCACACTGGCTGGCCTGCATCTGGTATGCCATCGGCAACATGGAACAGCCATTCATGGACTCCCGCATTGGCTGGCTACACAACCTGGGCGACCAGATCGGCAAGCCTTATAATGGCAGTGGCTCAGGGGGTCCTTCCATCAAGGACAAGTATGTCACTGCCCTCTACTTCACCTTCAGCAGTCTAACCAGTGTGGGTTTTGGCAATGTCTCCCCCAACACCAATTCTGAGAAGATCTTCTCCATATGCGTCATGCTAATTGGCTGTGAGTGCCAGCCTTGGAGGTGGGGGAAGAGGGGGTAATGGGAGGAAGGAGGCTTGAGGGGCCCAGAAATGGGCAGTGGGGTTGGGGCTTAGGGATGGAGAGATGGGTGGAAATTGTTCAGAGATGAGGGACAGGTGACTAGAGGCGTTTTCTGAGGGAAAGCCTCAGAAGGAAGAGAGGACGATTTAAGAATAGAGATGGGAAACTGTAGGGAGTTAGAGGGCCAATTGGACTTTGGGTTGGGTTTACACAGGGCTTAGAAATGAGAGGGCTTGGCTCTATTGAGCAGAGGAACAAACAGAAAGGACAATGATTTGGGAGGGCAGAAAAGCTGGCCTATGCCCGAAGGGATAAGGGCAGAGCCTGGAAGGGCCTTGGTGTTTAAGGCCAGGTGTTTTTTTGGAGGGGAGGGAAGGAGGGAGGGAGAAAGAGAGAGGGAGACAGAGAGAAAGAGAGGAAGAGAGAGAGAAAAGAAGAAGAAGAGAGGAGAGAGAGAAGGGAAAGAGGCAGAAAAGAGAGGAGAGAGGAGAGAGAGAGAAAGAGAGAGTCAGAGAGAGACAGAGAGAAAGAAGAAGAAAGAGAGAGAGAGAGAGAGAGAGAGTGAGAGCGCACCATATGGAGGGTTCTCACTGACAAAGGAAGTTTCCCTGTTGACTGATGCTCTTGCCCCTCTGTCCCCCAGCTCTGATGTATGCCAGCATCTTTGGCAATGTGTCAGCCATCATACAACGACTATACTCAGGCACTGCCCGATACCACACCCAGATGCTTCGAGTGCGTGAGTTCATCCGCTTTCACCAGATCCCCAACCCCCTACGACAGCGCCTGGAGGAGTACTTCCAACATGCATGGTCCTATACCAATGGCATTGACATGAATGCGGTGAGGAAGACAGGGAGGATACTATGGCTCATGGGAACGGGGCTCTGGAGATATGAAAAGTGAGAAGGATGTGGGTCAGGATCAAATAATTGACCTGTAGAGATCAGAGGTAGAGAAGCAGGAGGGGTGTTTGGATAGATCTTAGACCAGAAACGTGGGAATTGGAAGAGACACAAGGGGTGGAAAGGCTAGGGAGACCAGGATTTAGAAGGCCTAATGGCTTGATACCCTTCATTCTATCTAGTGCATTGTGAGTATGGCTAGGGAGGGAGAGTGATGGAGGATAGGGAGAGATAGAAATTTGCCAAGCATTTATTAAATGCCTTTTGTATGCTGGGTACCATGGTCAGCAATTGTGATGCAAAGACAAAATGAAATTTTCAAGCAGCTTAAATCCCACTGGGATTCTACTTTGTTTCTATTGAGAAGCAAAGATATAGGCAGAAATTCTTAGTAGTGTAAGCTCTGACCTCTTTTTCTTGTCATCCAGAGGGGCCTTGAAGCCTTTGCCAATGCTGAGCCTTGGACAAGGCCCATGGATAGTTGCCCTTATCAACCTTGAAGAGCATGGCTAAGCCAGAGGTCCTTATGCTCTCTTCTTAGCTCCTCTTGTCAACTCGTAGGGCAGAAGCGTGACCCTTTCCCCTGAGCCTCCAATGGCTCATCCTAAGATGAACCTGGTTTTTCCTCTCATCTCTTTTTTTCTACACTCTGATCTTTGACTTCTGACCCTCTTTTGCTCCTTTCCTATTTCTGTGGCCTCAGAGATCTTGGCCTTTTTCTTCTTGCCTCATCCCTCATTTCTAGTCCCATAGGCTGCCACTCAGGAGCCTGTGAAATTTTCAACTTTGTATTTTCCCTGTTTTTGGCTTGGTCAGCTTGGTGGGAATTCCAGGTTCCTTGGGTTTTTGGCTGCAACCCACCATGCTTAGGCCTTCCCTTTTTCAAGGGAGTCTTTTCTTCACAAATGGAAGTCTAGGGGATCTTTGACTTGGGAGCCAGTAATATAAAATCTTGGAAGGAGAGGTCAGTGGCAGCACATAATTGAGATTAGATTTTCCTTAGAGGGTGACTGGTTATTTTAGATGGTGTCCTGGGAGGGCATCTACACTTTTGGCACTTTTTCAGGCTGGACCACGATTTGAGGAAACAGCAGTGATGATGATTCTGGGATGTTGTCCTTTTTGCTTAGCATGCCATGGGAATGTGCTTAGCTTATGTTGTGGAGGCTGACTAACCCAAAGAGGGAAGGGTAGAAGAGTGACAAGAGAGGAAGGGAACATGCAGATCATCACATTACATCATAAACTACAATCAGCTCAGGATAGATATGTGGCCTAAATATAAAAGCTCACACCATTAAAAAATTAGAAGGGAACATGATGAGGTCCTTTCACAATTATGGCTGGGGAGAAGATTCTTAGCAGAACAAGGGTTAGAGGGGAAGTCACCAAAGATAAAATAGATGATTTCCATTACAAGAATTGGAAAAGTTTTTCATGAATAAAATCAATGCAGCTGGGATAAGAAAAAAAGGTATTGATCGGGAAAAAAATCTTTGCATCAAGTATCTGTTATATGTAAATATATAACATATATAAATATAAGGAATTAATACAAATAGATAAGATTGAGAGGAAAGTAGCTATAAATATGAAAGTGGAACTTGAATGGGACATCATAGCTGTCCCTAAATATCTGAAGGGATGGCACGTGGGAGATTTGTTCTGCTGGTCTCCAGAGGACAGAACCTTAATTCTTAGTAGTGACTTGGTATAAGGAAAAGCTTTTTTTTTTTTTTTTTTTTTTTTTTTTTCAATTGGGGTTAAGTAACTTGCCCAGGGTCAAACAGCTAGTTAGTGTCAAGTATCTGGTCTGAGGCCAGATTTGAACTCAGGTCCTCCTGACTCCAGGGCTAGTGCTCTATCCACTGCACCACCTAGCTGCCCCAAAAACTTCTTAATGATGAGAGCAATCCAAAAGCCTCTGAGGTTTCTTCCAGCTCTAACTCTGTGATTCAGTAAAAGTGTAATAGGCTGCCTTCCCTATCCCTGGAAGTCTTTAGGTAGTGACTTGAGAACCTCTTTTCAGAGACGTGCAGGGGAAATTCCTGTTCAGGTACAGGCAGAAGTTAGATGTGCTGATTCCAACTCTGATGACCTGTGATTCTGTGAAAGGGGTATAGGTGGTGGGGAGCCTGAGGATGAGGGCTGTGAGGGGAGGGCTAATCAGGGGGGTGGAAAAAGAGCCTCTCTAGGGGGCAGTGCCCTGGCTGAGGTATCTGTTTGGCACTGTCTTCCTCCCCTGCTTCATCCCCGGCCCCAGGTGCTGAAAGGCTTCCCTGAGTGTCTCCAGGCCGACATCTGCCTGCACCTGAATCGTTCCTTGCTACAGCACTGCAAACCCTTCCGAGGGGCCACCAAGGGCTGCCTGCGGGCACTGGCCATGAAATTCAAGACCACTCATGCGCCCCCTGGGGACACACTCGTACATGCCGGGGACCTGCTCACTGCTCTCTACTTCATTTCTCGAGGCTCCATCGAAATCCTACGTGGTGACGTGGTTGTGGCCATCCTGGGTATGGGCCTTGAGGGTGGGGCTCCATGGGCGAAGGTCTGGGGAAAGAAGATGAAAAGAGGGTGGTGGAGGGCAGGAGTTTCATCAGCAGCATCAGGGGTCGGGGCAGGGAATGGGTTTAGGAAGCAAGGAAGTAGGTCTGGAGCTAGAATGGCAGTCTGGATTCCTGGGGGCCTTGGTCCCTCATGGAGAGTGATTCCCATCAGTAAGCTCTAGCATCATGCCAGCACCAGGCCAAGCTTGAGCGGACTCTGTCCCTCCTAGAGCATCCTGGGGTTGGCTTCTGTGCATGGAATGCTCTGTTTCTCCTCAGTCCCTTTGACTAGTATGTGAGAGTGGTCAGTATGTGACCCAATGGGTGGTGAGCAGAGGTTAGAAGCATCTTGAGGGCACAGATTGTCCAGGGCTTTGCACTGCTTTGGGAACTGGGCCCTAGAGGCCTCTTCTGGGAACTGATACCTGGCGCTGAAAAAGATCTGAAACTCATACATCACCCCATCTTCCCTCCAGCCATCAAGACCTAAATTCGAGTCTCATCTTCAAGTTTCAGCTCTGACACCTTACTAGCTGTGTGATCTTGGGCAATTCTAATCACAACTTGCTTTTGTATAGGATCATAGATTTATAGATGGAGGACATCGAGTCCAACCCCCTTCCTAGTATGGATGAGGAAACTGAGGCAAAGAACAGTTAAATGATTTGCTCAATGTTGAACTTGGATATTCTTGACTCCAAGTCTAGCATTCTATTCGTAATACCATATGAATTCCCGCCCTTTAAGGTTTAAAAAACGCTCTTCTTGTAAACAACACATTGTAGGATTTTGGTTTTTAACCCACTCTGCTATCTGACCTATTTTGACCTCATCTTGGTATATGTTGTAAGATGTTGGTCTATACCTAGTCTCTGCCATACTGTTTTCCATTTTTCCCAGCAGTTTTTGTCAGGTAGTGAGTTCTTATCCCAGAAGCTGGAGTCTTTGGGTTTATCAAACAGGAGATTATGATGATCATTTACAACAAAACACTTTCTTCACAATCCCATGAGGTAAAACCAGTTATATCATCTCTATTTTACTAATGAGGAAACTGGTGCTCAAAGAGATTAAGTGATCTGTTTGAAGGTGACATAGTTAGTATGGGTGAGAGCTGGGACACACATTGAAATCATCTAATTCTAGGACTAGCGCTTCTTTTACCATACTGCGCTCACTGTTTTGGGCCTGTTTCCTCTATGTAAAATGAGGGGGTTGGGTTAGAATAATTTTAAGGTCCCTTCCAGCTCTAACTTTGCATGCTTCTTTGTGTCTATAAACTTGATTTCACCTGTAGGGACAATATAATTTGCCCTGGGTCCTATGATCCCAGGGATGGTCCTGACAGAAGTAGAAAGAACAGGAAAGCAGGTAGTTGTGATGTGGGAAGCATCAGTCTGATTGGTTTGGTTGGAGTGTAGAAAGGTCAATGTGATGGGCTCTTTCCACATGGAGCACAGTTTGAGTGACCCTACCTTGCTTCGTGGCCCTGGCAGCTGGGGCTGGGTGTGAGATATGAATAGCTCAGCCCATCCAGATGACTAGAGAACAACTTGTAGCACAGGCAATAACAGCAACAATTATACACACATATATACACACACATATGTATTCACATACATATAATTTAATATAATAATTAGGGCAGCTAGGTAGCTCAGTGGATAGAGTGCTGGGACTGGAGTCAGGAAAACTCATTTTCATGAGTTCAAATCTGGCCTCAGACATTTACTAGCTGTGTGACCCTGAGCAAGTCATCTAATCCTTTTTGCCTCAGTTTCCTCATCTGTAAAATGAGCTGGAGAAGTAAATGGCAAACCACTCCAGTATCTTTGCCAAGAAAACCCCAAATGGGGTCATGCAGAGTCAGAAACAACTAAAACCACCAAACAACCCAACAAAAATCTAATAATTATATGAAAAGATGAGAATGAGATAATTACAAGAACACATGATAAATAGGTCAGAAGCCTACAAACTTTTAGAATAAGCAGACAATTTTTTGATCAGCAATAAAGTCTGATGACAGGTACACCAGCATTGGATCTGCTGAATGTAATGAAAAGTGATTTATCTCCAGATGAAACTCATGAAATGACCACGATCCAAGAGCAGTATCAAAAGGCCACTCATAGGTAGCATCCACGTGAACTAAGCCAACCATATATTGGCAAAGAAGAATCAAACAAATGGCTGAAGTATGTGGATTTGTTGGGAGGAAAAGAGAGCTTTGTTGTAGCAATTCAAGACCAGGTCGTTGCCACCAGAAACCACGAAAGGGTTATCATTAAGAAGTCTAGGCAGCCAGGTGGCACAGTGATTAGAGAACTTTGAATCTGAAGCCAGAAAGATTTGAGTTCAAATCCTACCTCAGACAACCTACTAGCTATGTGTTGTCCTTCAGTCATTTCAGTCATGTAACTCTTAGTAACCCCATTTGGGGTTTTCTTGGCAAAGATGCTGGAATGGTTTGCCATTTCCTTCTCTAGCTCATTTTACAGATGAGGAACTGAGGCAAACAGGGTAAAGTGACTTGCCCAGGGTCACACAGCTACCAAGTATCTGAGGCCAGATTTGAACTCAGGAAGATAAGTCTTCCTGACTCCAGGCTTAGCCCTCTATCTACTGCACCACCTAGTTCCTCTCCTCTTACCCCTCCACCTCCAGCCGGGCAAATTACTTAATCTGTCTTAATCAGTTTGCTCACCTGTAAAATGGATATGATAATAGCTCCTACTCTCCCAGGGTTGTTGTGAGGGTACTATGAGATAATATGTAAAGCATTTCACAAACCTTAAAGTCTATGTGAATGCTAGCTATTATTATTAACAATAGACTTAATGATCAGTGTAAATTACACAAGGAAATGGTACTGATTTCAATATATCACTGTGGGACTTAAAAGTATAATACCTACTGAATTCCTAGCAAGACATGACCTCTAGGCTAGAATTCTACATCAGAACTGATTATTTTCTGGGCAGACAAACAACGAAGACCTCAAAATATCCCGGAGAACTCAACCAACAAACTGTGCCATTATCACAGACTGAACTGTTGCCCACAAATACCAGGATGTAACAGTGGCTCATAAAAACTCAAGAACAGCATTTTCATAGATGTTGCCATCCCAAACATTCGTAATTTTCACATTCCATGGAATGAAAAGCTTTTAAAATAGACCTGGCCAAGGAGATCAAACTAATGTAAAAGCAGGAGGAGATAAAATTACCCCTGTTATCCTGCTTGCAATCTGAGCTGTACTAAGAATGTTTTCAGCGAGGCACAGAAGATGAGCTCATGTCCTAATACTCTGATTCAACTATAGAAAGCAATTATTTCAGCCTCGCATGCCATAGAACATTGAATATAAAGGAAATATAGTAGAAGAATGACTTTTCTCAGGGATGTTTCTGTCTGAACTCCGCTTAAAAGATAAGAAAAAAATAAGATAATGATGATGATAATAATAAAGATTATTATTATATTTGACAGGTATTTTTACTTATATTATCTAATTCTCATAGCAGTCCTGTGAGGGAGGCATAGTAGGGATTATTAGGTACCTACATGGCATAGTATTTCCACTAGAGCTCCTGACTTGGAGTCAGGAAGATCTGAGTTCAAATCCTGCCTCAGATACGTAAAGCTATGTGACTCTGGACAAGTCACTTAATGCTCTGTGCCTCAGTTTCCTCATCTGTAAAATGGGGATAATAAGAGCACCTGTATCACTGTGGTGTTGTGAGGGACTAAGACATAACATCAAACACCTCGCAAACCTTTGATGATGACATACAAATGCTAACTGTTTCATATCTGAGGAAATTCAGTCTTTTCAGAACTGACTGATACTTGGATGCAGACCTCCAAGCTCGATATTCTTTCCACTGTATAATGTATGCTGAAGTAGGAGGTGGAGAGGCATTTTGTTTTTCTAGGGAAAGGCCAACAGCCTGAGCATGGTACATGCGTAATGTGATGTTGGTGGGGTTTGAGGGCTAGCCTGATGTTGGGGTGCTATTAGCAGGGTGGCAGGCGTTGGCTGGGATTAACTGAGGAAGGAGCGTGTTTGCTGCCCCCTGGTGGTCTGTGTGGGCTGCAGCTAGAGCAGGTCCGTTCATTCTGGGCTAATAACACTCTCCCTTCTTCTAGGGAAGAATGACATCTTTGGTGAGCCTCTAAACCTGTATGCACGGCCAGGCAAGTCTAACGGTGATGTCCGGGCTCTCACTTACTGTGATCTGCACAAGATCCAGCGTGACGACCTTCTTGAGGTACTGGACATGTACCCTGAGTTCTCTGACCACTTTTGGTCCAGCTTGGAGATCACCTTCAACCTGCGTGATGTGAGTGACCTGCACCCAGAGCTACGTCCTGAACTGACTCTGACATTGCTTCATGACTTCTCCCAAGCCTTGGCCTCAATCCCCAAGACACATGACAATAATTATGCCACCTTGAATTTGTACGGTTCCTTAGAGTTTCTACAATTCCTTCTGCTCCTAGGAGGCAGGTAGGACAGGTGTTACCTGTCCCTGTTTTACAGTTGAGAAAACTGAGGCCCAGAGGTGACTCTCTCAAAGTTATATAGTTAATAAGGGACAGAGCTGGAAATCGACTGGGTCTTCTGGTTCCTAGTTGGGTGTCTAGCCCCTCATACACCTGAAGCCTACTCCTTGGCTACTGAGTCACTGGTCAACATTGGGCCATACCCTTGATTTCTATGGGCTTCTGTTTCCTTAATTGTCAGATAGAATAATAATTGCTCTTGCGCTCACCTCTCAGAAGTTGTATCCCCTCACTTGTCTCACAGGGGTATTATTTAGGATCAAATGAGAAAATGGATATGTAAGGCTTTGGAGAATTATAAAGGGTTATATGAGTATTAGTTCCTTGTAACTGTTACTGCAACGAAGATTCTGGCCTTGATGATTATACTGGTTTAGAGGTCACTTCTAATAATAATAATAATGATGATAATAGCTAGTATTTATATAGTATATTAAGGGTTTCAAAGCACTGAACATGTTATCTCAGCTGGTCCTCACAACAACTCTGTGAGGTAGGTGTAATTATTATCCCCATTTTACAAATAAGGAAACTGAGGCTGAGAGAGGTTAAGTAACTTGCTTAGGGTCAGACAGCTGGTAAGTGTCTTGAAGGAGAATTTGAACTCTTAAGTCAGACACTTTCCCCCTCTGCATCACCTAGCTACTTTCTAACTCCAAAACTCCAAGTCCTTCTCCCACTGGGATCCCTTAACCTCAGAACATCTCCTCTTCCCAGTATCCTCAGATGGCCCCTTAGCACCTTCATTCATTGATTTCTCGCTTGACCTGGAGAGACCTGAGTGTGTGTGATTGGAGTATGACCTCTGGCCCCTTCTACCCTCCTTCTGTTTCCCCATCTCCCTCCAGCAAGACCAGTTTCTGGGGATGAGGGTAGGAGGGGCAGGAGAGAAGAGCCTGACGTGGCTCTTCATTCCAGACCAATATGATCCCTGGTTCCCCGGGCAGCACTGAACTAGATGGTGGCTTCAACCGGCTGCGCAGACGCAAGTTGTCCTTCCGCCGCCGAACAGACAAGGGTGAGTGATGGAGGGGGAGCTGGCAGGGATTAGAAGGAAGTAGGGGTCTCTGTGTTAGGGGTATCCTGGGCTTTGGGACACCAGGGGTGAGGCGCTTTGGGCAGGACTATCCACGCATCCCGTGTATTCTTGTCTTTTCACTTTTGTTCATGTACTCCTTGCCTGGAATGGCCCCCTCTACCCATCCAAAGTCTGTCATCCTCTGAGGTCTATCAAGTGCAAGGCCTCACCTCTTTCATGAAGTCCTCCCTAGCCATTCTGGCCTATACTGGTCTCTACTGATCTCTGAATCCTACAGCTCTTATAGTCTGTATTGCACAATTAACTTTTAATTATACACTGTCTGATATTGTTCACTGTGGTTTTTATGTGTGTGAGTCCTGTCTTCTCAGCTAGACTGTAAGCTCCCTGAGGGCAGGGACCGTGTCTTGTACTCCTTCTGTATCCCCCCCAGGGCTGGATGCATAGTAGGTGCTTGTTGACTTGAACTGAACTAGGACAGGATGGGGGAGGCTGGGTGGAGGTGGGTGAGGGAGCCAGGTCCCAGGATGTGAGGCCAAGGAGTAGGATGGGATGGGGGGGTTAGGTTCTGGAGGGTCATATCAAGTTAACTAGTCTTTATTGAGCGCCTACTGTGTGCCCAGCCCTGTGGTAGGCTATGCTGTGGGGGATACAAGAGGAGAAGCCATGGGCCCTGCCCTCCAGGAGCTTACACTCTAGTTGGGGACACAAGACTCCCACACAGGGAACAACAGCGAATGATTGCAAGACACTGTGTGGTCAAGTGGTAGATTGTGTGACAAGCAGACTGTAAGTGCTGTAGGTAGGAGGGTGGGGGGAGTGGGGTAGGGGTGGGAGAGAGGTTGGGAGTGGGAGGGTTGAGGGACCCAGGGAGCTTGGCCCTATTCTTGCCATGGTTACTTCCCAGACTCCAAACCCTTGTTTTTAACTGCTTCCTCCATGCCCCCTGGTCTTACACTCCTGCCCCAGAATTCAACGTCCTCATCCTTCCCCTCTGTTGAGTTACCCCTATTCTCCATTTGCCACAGATGCAGAGCAGTCAGGAGAGGGGTCAGTGGTAGGTGTGGGCCGAGAAGGCACAGGAGCTGGCAGCCGAACGCGGTCAGGGGGCCCATGGGACGAGAGCCCTTCCAGTGGCCCCTCCACCCCAGAGAGCAGTGAGGAAGATGAGACCCCAGGCCCTGGTTCCAGCCCACTCCGTCTGGTGCCCTTCCCCAGTCCCCAGCCTTCCAGGGACCTGCTGGGTGGGGAACCTGTGGCTGAAGAGGCTGAGAAAGGCAGTGACACCTGTAATCCCTTGTCAGGTATGGCGTGGGGGGTGGGAAGGGGCTGGAGGGGGTCACCTACTTGGTTCTTGTCTTTATTGGGTAGGCCCAGGCCTCTACCCTACTCTTTGCCCCTCATCCTGTCCCTCTGGCTCCAGGTGCCTTCTCAGGGGTATCCAACATCTTTAGTTTCTGGGGGGACAGTCGGAGTCGCCAATACCAGGAACTGCCAAGATGTCCAACCCCAACCCCTACCACTGGGCTCCTCAACATACCACTGGCCAGCCCTGGCCGCCGGCCCCGAGGCGATGTGGACAGCAGGCTCGATGCCCTACAGAGACAGCTCAACAGGTATTCTTAGCCCTCTTCTGTGACCCCGCTCTGGACCAGAGACAGCCCCCTCCTCAGCACCGCTGTCCTGTCCTCAGCCAGGAGCACCCTCTGCCTCCAGCCCCATCCCCCCCATCCCCTCCATCCCCTGCAGCTCCTCTCAGCCTCCACTGTACTTCCCTTCTCAACAAGCAGGTCACGGGGCTGCACATTGTGGGGGCCTGTATTTGTCGGGGGGGGGGGGGGGGGGGGGGGGGGGGAGGATAAATAGGGCTATATGTGGGGGCTTTTGTGATAACAACTCACATTTAAAGATGTAGGAAACTCTTCACAATAACCTCTCGGGAGGTCAGTACATCCATTATACATGCTTTTATTTCTGTATGTGTTTCTATGCATAGTTGTATGTGTGTATGTATATATGTACATTTGGGTATATGTGTTTGTACGGGTAGGTGTTTGACCTGTCTAGGGATAGTAGTGGGGGATTCTACTCTGTGCTTGGGAAGGGGTGTGTGTGTGTGTGTGTGTGTGTGTTTGCACTTGAGTTCCCTTTCTGTGAACAAACAGGATGTAGATCCTGGGGGAGGGAGAGCAGGGCTGAAGTGGGACAGACCCTTTCTAGGCTGACCTGCACAGGCGCTCCTCATCTCTGCATTGAGTTCAGGAATCTCCTTTGGAGGGAGCTTGGTCCTCAGCCAGCCCGTCTTTAGGGAGTGAGTGCCCCATCTCTCTGAAACGCGGACCCTGAACCCGCTTCCTCCTCCTCCCCTCCATCCAGTCTCCTGAAGCAGGTGGCCCCCTCCTTCCACATTGCCCATTTTTCCACTCTCCCCATCAACCCCATAGGCTGGAGACCCGCCTCAGCACTGACATGGCGGCTGTCCTGCAGCTGCTACAGAGACAGATGACGCTGGTGCCCCCAGCCTACAGCACCGTGACTCCCCCTGCACCTGGTCTCTCTTCCGACTCCCCCTTGTTGCCTGTCAGTCCCATCCCCACTCTCACCCTTGACTCGCTTTCTCAGGTAAGTTGCAGCAGGTCGTCCCCACTTGGGTCCTGCCTAAACCGTCTCCCCAAACCCGGTGGCCACCCTCCCTCCCACTCAACTCAGCAGTTCCTTTCTTATTACTATTATCAATTTTTGGTTGCTAACATCAAAAAGTTTTGAGCCCCAAGGGCATTCCCCTGCTCCCGCCCCGCACTCTTTTTTTTATTTTTTTATTTTTTATTAAAAGCTGCCTGGTCCTGCGGAAAGTGTTGGACTTGAATTTGGATCCCCAGGGATTGAACCTCAGCTCTGCTCCTTACTGCTTCTGTAGCCTTGGGCAAATCACTGAACCTCCCTGGCCTCAATTTCTTTATTTGTAAAGTGAAGGGGATGGATTAGAAGGCCTATAAATCTATAATACTATGATCTCACACTCCTCGGGCCCTTGTCCCTCAACCAAGCCCACACCTACTGAATGCATTTGCCCGAGGCTTAGCAAGCTCATTAACCTCATTAGCAGCATGAGTGGCAGCTGTGGGAGCTCTTAGCAGCAGAGGACGTAGATGGAAGAAGGCAGAAAGGAAGAGCAAAAAGGGAAGGAGTGGAGGAGTAGGAGGAGGAGAGGAAAGGGGCTGGAGGAATTAGGGGGAGGCAAAAGGTTGGGTGAAATTCAGAAAACAAACAAAACAAAACAAAAACAAAAATTCAGAAAACCAGTCTTGCACCTGAGTGACTGGTTTGACTGATTTTTTTTTGTTTGTTTGCTACTGGGCTAAACTAGTTCAGGTTTTTGATAGTTCATGTGTTCGTTCATTGTTCATTCATTCATTCATTCATTCATTCATTCACTCATTCATTCATTCATTCATTCGTTCTTCACTCATTCACCCTGGTTCTCATCTTAGCAGTGTGAAGGGCTGGCCAATGAAAAGAGAATTTAGGTGTGTGCAGTGGGTAGGGATGGAGAGAAGGCACCAATAGAACCTCAGCTGCCCTGGCCTAGCTCATAATCCCCGCCCCCCATCACTGGCCAGTATGTCATATGTCACTTATCCCTCTCCCTCTGACCAGCCAACAGGGAGGAGGTTGGATTAATCTAATAGAAAATTGTCCCTTACAAAACTATGCTGGTTTTTACTCCTGATTCCCTCTGAGGCATTGGACACATTGTGGGTCTGCCTTGATTTGTTCTGTGTGTGTGTGTAATATTTACAAGGCCATTGTCTTCCCTTCCCCCATTGAATGATGGCGCTGTAAACTCTCCCATCTGCTCCAGCACCGCTCCTGGAGGCCTTCACTTGAGTCAGGTTGCCCCTGGCCAGTCCCTGTGCATCCCTTTGACCTGGAAGCCTGAGGCAGCCTTTGCCCATTTCCTTGCCTCCTTCCTCCCCAACCTCCAGTCCTGGCTGGCACCCACTCCCTCCCCTCCCATATGCTGCCTGCTCCTGTTTGCCGACACCAGAGCCCACATCAGCAAATGTGACAGTCTCCACTTTTGGCCTCCCCCGCAGAGATCTCGCCAACAAACCTGTCAGCACACACAGAGTGCTCCTCCTTCTGCTCTCCCTGGTTCTCTTCGGCCCCTCTGATCTCCCAGTGGACCTGGGTTGGGAGATGGGATCCATTTCTGGACTCTCTGCTTTGTCTCTTGTTCAGAGAAGGGAGTGTAGGAGTGTGCGTCCTAGTCTCCCTTCCCGATCTCTGTTTGGAGCTTGGGGAGGTGTCTCCTTACCCTAGTCTAGGATCAGCTGTAGCCTCAACCCAGTTTCTCCATTCTGAGAGACCTCCGCTCTCAAGCATCCTGCCTCCAAGACCTTGGGGGAAGCTGTGCGTTTAGTTTCCAGAGGCTCATATACCATCGTTTTATTTTCAGTCATTTGATGGGCACCTATACTTTGTTCCCAGTTATGCGCAGCAACAAAAAATGCTGCTTTGAATATTTATTGTATATATGAATCCTTTCCCTCTATCTTTGACCTTTCGGCGTATGTGATATCGCTGGGTTAAAGAGTATGCACAATTTAGGGCCTTTTTGCCCAGAGGCCCAGAGTTTCGACCTTTCGTTTTTATACCATTCTGATTCTCTCTAGTCCTGGAGGATAGAGGAAAAACTCCTTAGGACACCCCAGACAGACTTTTCCTTCCTGACAATCTTGAAACTGTCATTCATCTTTCTTCTGTCTACTGGTACCCCTTCAGGGATACCCACCCTGCTGATGGTTTCTTATCCTCACACCTGGTTCCCTCTTGGCCCAGACTCTCCCTTCTGCTTCCCAGCCCTCCTGTATTTGGTCTTGCCGACTTTTCCTTTCACTCACTGCCCTCATTCCCCTCCTTTCCCTAGCCTCCTCTCTGGTCCTGACTCTGTTCCTAGACTTTTCTCTTTCTTCCTCCGAAATCTTTTTCCTGGTCCCTCTGACTCCTCTTTCCATCTCCCATCCCTCTCTTTGTTTTCTACAGGTTTCCCAGTTCCTGGCGTGTGAGGAGCTCCCTCCAGGGGCTTCAGAGCTCCCCCACGACGGCCCTGCCCGACGCCTCTCCCTGCCCGGGCAGCTGGGGGCCCTGACCTCCCAGCCCCTGCACAGACATGGCTCAGATCCGGGCAGTTAGTGGGCCAGCTAGGTGGACATGTGGCTCAGCCCAGGCCCCTGTGGCCCTCTCCCCTATACAGTCTTCACTCCCCTGGGGAGGAGACTGGGGAATGTTCAGAATGGGGGGAGTTGAGGGGAGCAATGGGGTCAAGTTTCTTTCCCTCAATGCTCGGGGTATTTTCCTCCCACCAGGTTCCCCTTGCCCCACCTCCCCCCCCCCCCCCCCCCCGGGGGGGGGGGGGGGCCCCCCGGGGGCCAGGCTGTGCCCCCTCGGGGGGGCATTGGACAGAGGGTCTCTGGTCCTTCCCCACCCTCCCCCCGGCTGCCCTGGGGGCATTAGCTGGTCTAACTGCCCGGGAGGGACATGACCCTGGGGCCTCAGGCACCTCAAGGACTCTACTGCTATTTACTGCTCTTATTGTTAAGGATAATAATTAAGGATCATTATGAATCATTAATGAAGATGCTGATGAATATGAATAATAAATAATTATCCTGAGGAGAAACCAGTGATGTTGCAGGGCATTAGGTCTGCATGGCTGTATATCCATATAGATTCTCAGGACTTCAAACTGGGAGTGTCACACGGAGGCTATGTCTCTAGCCTTGCTGCCTGGGCCAGCATCCTGCTTATGGTTCCGGTGGGAATGAGGCAAGACTTGCTCTCTTGTAGTGCTGATACCCCTGGAAGATAGTTGTGATTCCTGACAATGTCCCCCACTTTTCCCGTCTTTATTGGGTTGAAGACTTTCATGTAATCTTGACAACTCAGTGACTAGAGAAGGGTGCTAATGAAACTAAGGTCACGGGCACTACTCTCTCATTGACCAGATAGCTTTTATCTGTTCTGTGGCCACCAACTGACCCCTAACCCTAGGCATTGGCTGATTGCTAGCCTGGGCCCAGGCCACAGCCTCAGCTAGGGACTGATTCTAACTCTTCATGTGCTGAGCCTGTAATCCTGGCTCCTCAACCTTATCTGCTGTTTGATTCCTTACTTGTCCAGAGAATCACTCCTAACTCTAGCCAGTGACTAACCGCTAACTGACCACTGAATGACTCTTCATTTCTACCCTGCATTGATTCCTAATTCCAATGAGAGATTTACGTCCTAACCCAGCCACTGGCTAATTCGCTAATCCTACCTACCTACTAGTAGATTCCTAATGGATGTCCTGATTTACCTCTAATCCCTGCCATGTACTAGCCCTTAAGCCCGAACACAGGCTGAAACCCTAACTCTCCTCAGAGACTGACCTAATTCTGCCAATGGACACAGATTAAACCCTTGACCCTGACTATTTACTGATGCCTGACCCTGGCCAGAAAATGATTCCCAAATTCGAGACACTTGAAGAACCCTAATCCCATCTAGCTGCCTCAACAAATTTTCCTTTGTTCATTAAAAGGAACTGTGGATGGCTCAGTGTTGTCCTTTTGCACTACTGGATAAACAATTCACAGGATCATTTAGAGCTTGAAGGGACCTTAATGATTATTGAATCCAATTCCAGCCCCCTCCCTCACCCCAATTTCACAGAGAAGAAAACAGGCCTTTAAGGTTAAATGCCCAAGGGGGTCCGCATGTAGTAAGTGGCAGAGTCAGAATTTGCACTCCGGTCCTTTGCAGACCCAACACTCTACTACAACACTTAAATTGAAGGTTTTTACTGAGGATGTTGCTGAAAACCTGCTCTGCAGGGACATGGTCTAATGTCAGTGGTGGTTAGGGAGCTCCTGTCCAATTCACCAGCTATCCTCTCTGCTGGCACTAATGGGGTCAGAATATTTCTTCCCATTACACTCTCAGTCACTCAACAAACATTTATTAAGCACTTCCTATGTTCCAGGTACCGGCACTAAGTGTTGGGGATACCAAAAGAGGCAAAGACAGTCCCTGCCCTCAAGGAGCAGGGGAAGGCAACATGCAAACACATGTACACAAAGTAAGCTATATGTGGGATAAATGGGAAATAACAGAGGGAAGGCACTAGAATTAAGAGAGGTGAGAAAAGGCTTCCCATAAAAGATGGGATTTTAGTTGGGACTTCAAGGAGGCCAGGGAAGTCAGTAGGTGGAGTTGAGTCCTGGCATGAGGCAGATAGTGCTGTCACAGGGCATGGGCTCACATCTTACCTCTGACATTTAACTGGCTGGGTGACCTTGGGAATGCCACCTCATTTTCTTTTCTGCAAAATGTCCTCCAAGGACCCCTCCAACTCGAGATCTGTGGTCCTTCAGCCTCTCAGTCCACAGAAGCCAACTTGAAAGCTCCTTCCTTAGTACAGAGGTAGGGTCTCAGCCAGGCTCCTGCATGTGGTGAGGTTGACCCAAGTTGGTTGGTTCTTACTGGCTAAGGTTTCTAAGCTCTTGCATGGTCTTTCCCAATGGAAGGGCCCAATAATTAGGAAAATGAACCTCCACTGGTAACATTCTTTTAGGACCCAGAACCTGGGGAGACACTTGGCTATCAGAGGGAGCCAGTACCTGGCTGACCTGAGTGTTAGTGTTTGAAGAGAACCTTAGAATTCTTCTAGTCAATTTGGCCCATTATGAAGATGAGGAAACTGAGGACCAGGGAGGGCAAATGACTTAGGATGAGATGTATACTATGTGAATGGCAGGGTAAAGACTAGAATTCACATTATCTGATTCTCAGGCTGGTATTCTTTCCATGAGTATGAAGATTCTCTTCACCCTGTTCGAGGAGGCTTAACCTCTACATTATCCTGACAGTATTTTCACAAGGAAATGTTGGAGGGGTGGACAGAGGCACCAGGCTTCTGAGTACATCTGTCTTTTGGAAGTAGAGGCTGGTTTCCCAAATAGAAATAATGACAGACAAAGAGACAGTGACCGAGATAGGCAGAGCAAGACAGCCCTGGAGACTTTGTGTGTGGGATTCTCTTCCTTCACCTCACCGAGGAAGTCTTTGTTCTTCTTTTTACAGGCATACATAGGACAGGGGCATGTATTTAGAGCTGGAAGGAACCTTAGAGGTCATCTAGTCCATTTTATAGATGAGGAAATTGAGGTCCAGAGAGGTTAACCAACTGCCAAGTAACACAGCAAAGATTTGAAGTATTTGAACTGAGATAAATTTCTGAATTCTGTCTCTGCTCCACCCAGTAACCAACCTCACGTCCCTTCAGCCACTTTTACCACACCTTCTCTGGCTGGTCACCCAGTCTCTCTCTCTCTCTTTCTCTCGGTCCAGAATATTTGTGTTGCAAATACAATGTTAAAAAAGATTGAGGGCTGGGAGTATGGGGGGTGGGGCAAGGTTCAAGATTTTTAATCAATCAATCAACATTTGTTAAACATCTACTATGTATCTGGGGTTGTGCTGAGCTCTGGGGACAGTCCCTGCCCTTAAGGAGTTTACAATCTAATTGGGGAAGACCACACACAAAAGGAAACTGAAAAGTGGGGGTGGGGAAGGTACTCAGGATGAGAAACCAATGTTCTGAGCCCAGCTCTCTCTTTAAAAGTAGACTTCGGAGTTCATGACTCCACCCTCCAGTCAGGAAGACAGAGGGTGGTGATGGGTGGTGTACCAAGGCTGATGAAATCTTGCAGGAAGAAGATGTTTTCTTTCTTTTTTTTTTCTTTTTTTTTTTTTTTTGTGAGGCAGTTGGGGTTAAGTGACTTGCCTAGGATCACACAGCTAGTAAATGTCAGGTGTTTGGTCTGAGGCCAGATTTGAACTCAGGTCCTCCTGACTTCAGGGCTGGTGCTTTATCCACTGTGCCACCTAGCTGCCCTCAAGAAGATGTTTTCCCAGTAATGAGCTTCCTGGGGCATGGAGGAAAAGTCAAAGAAATCCCAGAGTAGTGCAGCTAGATGAAGAATGAGGATAACACATCATATCAGCTCTCTAGATCTCAGTTTCTTTCTTTCTTTTTCTTCCACTTAATAGTATTTTTTTTCTGATTACATGTAAAGATAGTTTTTGACATTTACTTGTTAATATTTTGAGTTCCAAATTTTTTTTCTCCCTCCCTTCTTCCCCTTCACCTCCTCAAGATGACAAGCAATTTGATATAGGCTATACATGTACATATCAAACATATTTCCACATTAGTCATGTTGTGAAAGAACAATCAGAATAACAGAAAAATCATAAGAAAGAAAAAAAAAGAAAATAATATGCTTCGATCTGCATTCAGACTCCATAGTTCTCTCTCTGGATGTGGGTAGCATTTTCCATCATGAGTCTTTTGGAGACGTCTTAGATCATTGCATTACTGAGAAGAGCTAAGTCTATCAAAGTTGCTCATCTCATAATGTTGCTGTTACTGTGTACAATGTTCTCTTGGTTCTACTTACTGTGCTCAGCATCAATTTGTGTAAGTCTTTCCAGGTTTTCTGAAATCAGCCTGCTCATCATTTCTTATAGCACAATAGTATTCCATTATATTCATATACCACAACTTGTTCAGCCATTCCCCAATTTATGGGCATTTCCCTTTTTTATTATTTCTTTGGGATACAGACCTAGTTGTGGTATTACTGGATCAAAGAGTATGCACAGTTTTATAGCCCTTTAAGCATAGTTCCAAATTGCTCTGCAGAATGGTTGGATCAGTTCACAACTCAAGCAGCAATGCATTAATGTTCCAATTTTCCCGTATCTTCTCCAACATTTATAATTTTCCTTTTTGGTCATATTAACCAATTCTGATAGGTGTGAGGTTGGGTCTCAGTTTCTTTGTTTAATTCAACAAAAAGTTTAAAGTGTCTAGTAGATTCAAGACCTCCAGAGAGGCTCTAAGGATGCATAGATAAAACAAGTCACAGTGCCTGCCCTGGGGGAATTTACAATCTAAGAAGAGGTTTGGATTGGATTATCACTAAGGTCCTTTCTCATGCCAACACTCTATTACCATAAGCGCTGAGATACAGGTTGGTATAGTAACTGGTATAGGCCACAAGCATGTTTTAGTCCTGTTTCTGACACCTGCTCTCTGGTGTGACCTAACCACTTTTTTTTTTTTTTTTGGCAGTGGGGTTAAGTGACTTGCCCAGAGTCACACAGCTAGTAAGTGTTATGTGTCTGAGGTCGGATTTGAACTCAGGTCCTCCTGAGAGTGCTCTATCTACTGCGCCACCTAACTGCCCCCTAACCACTTCTTATTTTCCTGTGGGTTATCAGAATTAGGAGGAGTTTCAGAATCCTTCATAACTCACCAACCTCTATCCAAATCTCTAAACTTGACA